GTGTGCGTGCCATAATTTCATTTCTCAAGAAAGGTCAGAGATAAATGTGTTTATTTCCATGTTTTCATCAGCAAGTAACCTCAAGATAAGTTCTATGTGCATCATCATGCTTTAAAATGCAAGAAAATATCAAGCATGCAAGATGATTCAAAGTGGGTTTGACCAAAAAGTCAACATTTCAAGTTTAAGTTCAAGATATCATAACTCCTTCAATATTCAACATTTTTTAGTGATCCTTTAAGCACATTACTCTCCTTGACATCCTCTCTAACCTATATTCAGAAGTCAAGAGCTAATTATGTTTGGAAGATCATCAATAGTTTGGATGCATTATATGTCATCTTGTGGACTTAAATTTTTTTTACCTATTTTCAAGTGAATTTTGCCCAATTTTCAAGAATCATAAATCTTTCAATTTTCATCACTTGAGGATGATTATTTTTTAACAATATCATTTGTGATGCCCTATACAAGTTTACTTCAATGGTAAAAGTCTAATTTTGCTTGGAAGGTCGTGGAAAGTTGTTGGACATTATAGGTCATTTTCACTCATTTTGGACTTAGAATTTTCTTGACTTCTATTTTCAGTCCATCGTGCCAATTTCCAAGTGCCATAAATTTTTTCACAAACATCCAAATGCAACTTTTCTTGTCACATTGTTATCTTTGTAATGATGTTATCAAATGGCAAAAATAATGAATCATAAAGGTTCCTTACGCATGATGTCCCACAAGCTTGAAGATGGCTACCTGAAACTGAAATTTCAACTTGAAGTCAGATTTCCACTTGATCAAAACTTATTCCAATGACTAAATCAACATGCGTTTTAGACCTAAACATGTTTAAGGAAGTTCATTGAAGCTAAATGGCACACAAAACACAAGTTTAAGCTGGGTTTTGATGAATTGGAGGTCACATTTTCCTCACCTTGCAGGTTCACACGAATTGGATCATTTCTTGATCATTTCCCACGTATAAACATTTCATCATCATCTCATATAAATAACACACTTTACTCGATCATTTTTTCAAGATTTGAGAGCCAAAATTACCCTTCCAGAACTTACCTCGAACCTTCAAATTTGTGATTTCATTTTCACTTTCAAAGCCATTTTCAATCCCTTTTCTCATTCTTGTCAGCATCAATGATCTTCCCTGAAGTTAATCAAACAAAAAACAAGCCAAATCATACACTGGATCTCCCTCACCAAGTCAAGTTTCAGAGGCATTTCAACACACATCGTTCATGTAGATACAGACCTCCATTTGCTTCAAACTTTATACCACGATGTAGCCCTTGGCTTTCTGAAGCTCACACTTCATTTAGATTTCATTTTCATTATGATTTCATCATTTAATTTTGATTTCAATTTTAAAAAATGCCACGAGTTTTCATCAAATTCTCTTTACTCAGTTGATATAAATGTTCACAATGCATATGATTGAGATTACGATAAAGAGACGACCACAATGCTGGTGGTCTCAGTGTCTCATGTTAAAAAAATGGAAAACTCCGATGAGGGATCATCGGAGAAGATGATCTGAGGGGTGGAGTTTGGCCTGAGTTTATTTTAAATGTGTGGCCAATGACATGAGGCCACGTGAAATGTTTTGATTGGCTCTCTTTAAATCTGATTCAGTGTTATTTTTGAATTAATTCTCATGGTGTTCTATCACTTTAACACCTTTGAATCTGCCATGTCATTTAAATGACTTTGGATCCAATGCCTCTCATATTTTCCACTTTATTTTATTTTTTATTTTAATTTGTTTGAATATTTAAAAATTCATATTAAATATATTTTTACTCCAAAAATTTTCAAAATAATTTTTAAAATTCACTCTGATTTTTCTTCATCTGATTCTTATTTTTTTAGAATTTTATTTTTAAGTTTACTATTTTTTATTGATTTTAGATTATTTTCTTGATTTTAATTAGTTTAAAATTAGTTTTATATTTTCAAAAATCACCAAAAGTTTTCTAAAAATATTAGAGACCATTTCTAATTTTTCTATGGCCTTCTTTGAAATTTATTTGATATTTTGAATATACTTTAAAATTTTACCTTTTATTTTCATTTTTAAATCAATTTAAAAATACTTTTTCATACACTTTAATTGTTTTTGTTGCATTTAATTTCAGTATGACTTTTGTTGGCTGGTCGACCTTGGATCTTAGCTTGTTTGATCATAAGTTTCATCAAAATCATTTGATCTTGTGTGTTGATGGGGTAAAAACCATAATCCACCAAAATGGATGATGATTTTGATGATAACTTGATTAATCGCTTTTATCCAATTTGGGATTTACTTTCTTGTTAATTATCTTTGCTTCATCTCTTTCTTCTTCTTTTTTTTTGATCAATTGAACGATGATGATTCATCTTTGTTCAATTAGGTTTGGATTGATACTTGATAAAATTTTATCATTTTAAATCTACCTCTAAGTGATTAATTGATCACTCAAGGCACTTTGGATTAATGATAAGTTTTTCCTAAGATATCATGAATGATTTGATTGATGTAATGATGTCACCTTATTGACTTAGTCTTGCTCACCTTTGCTTTTAAACTATGGTATGCATTATATACAAGATTCCTATATTATTTTGGTCTGACCTCAGATAGGTGCAACTTCTATATAAATTGTCTTACGATTTCTTAAAGTAACGCTAAATTTTCCTAAATCGGAATACTAATTACTAACACTAATTATAATTGTACTAACATTTAATTTTCCGCACTCTTACATTTCTGCCATTTAAATTTCTCGCAATTTACTTTATGCCCTTTACTTTTAGCATCTTTATCATTCTTGCCATTTTACTTTCTTGCCTTTATTTTTATGCTATTTTTCTTTGCTTCTTGAGCACTTTATTTTATGTTCTTTTTCTTTTGCTCGTTGAATATTTTTCTTCTTTCCTCAAAGACATTAACAAAGAACTTAAACACTAAAAAACTTCTATAACTCTTGGACTATGGTTACTATCCTTTGCATTATGGGGGTTGGATTTTTTGGACTTAGGATAGGCCCTTGGACTTTCATATGATACCATGATCCATCTAAGACTTTTGAGCCTTCATCTGAGACCTTAGAAGTTTTATCTAATCATTGGGTTTTATTTGTCTGTTTGCTTTTGTGTATTTTGTCTGATGCAAGAACATTCATCTGAGACATCAAATTTTATCTAATACATAAAAAGTCATATCCACTTTTTTGTGATTCATCTGATGCTAACATCTTGAGCTTGCACCAGAGTCACTAATTTTTATCTGATGTTTATTACTTGCTTGTATGTGTGGCTTAATCCAAGGGGAATTGATGCATATTTTGACTTGTGTCAAGATGATTGCTCTAGCTTGGTCAAATCTTTTCTACCTTAACTTTTACTTTATGCTTTAGGATAATCCCTTCATCTCTTGTCCATCTTCTTCAATTTTTAAAATCTTCTCTCTTTTTCAAAATCTTATTCTTTTCTTAAACTTACACCACTTTCAATAAAAATCTTGACTTTGTCAAGTGCATTTTCAATCTTTCTTTTCTTAATAAATGTTTCAAGACATCTTAAGCATATCAAAACCTTTTCAAAAGACTTAAAAAATACAATACTCATTCAAATCATTTTTGTCATTTTGGCTTTTTATTTAAAAATCTTTTATTAAAGGTTAGACATGAGTCATCTCCATGATATTGGTTGATATGATGTTGATTCTTTTCCACTCGAAAGAGTTAGTGACATACTTATTGATTTTTATCCAAGTTAGAGCCCTTCTTTCATTCTGATGCAAAAATCCATCTTTCTCATATTTATGGATGATTAGTTGAGTATTCTTTTTGAGACGACAAAATGTATCTTCATTTAAAATTAACCAACAAACAACTTTGTTCTTTTTTAGAAGAACTACGTGATTCTGATTTCTTCATTGCATATTGAAGATACATAGGCGCGAGGCTCTTGAAGTCTTGCCGAATCAAAATTGTAAAAACCATTTATTTTCTCATCTCTACGATCTTTTTTTAAACAATCAATTTTAGTCAAACACACATATTTTCAAAAGGTTATGTGGAGTACCACAGATGTTTAGGGTGCTAATATCTTCCCTTTGCATAATCAACCCCCTTACATAAATCTCTTTGCTTTATTAGTTTTGTTTTAAAATTTTTATGGATTTTATTAGCTTTTTTCTCATTCATTTGAAAACAATAAAGTGCGGCGACGACTCTTGCTTTGTGAGTTAAATTAATTAATAACTTAATCTCAATTTTCATCGCTAGTTGTTTGTGAAAATTGAATCACGGTAATTATTGAATTGCTTATTAATGCTCTTCATTATTCTTTGTTGTTGTGATTTTTAATGATCTAAATTAAATGTGTTATTCATCTAATCATATGTTTTACAAAACCTCCCCTATCTTTTGCTTATGTAATTTGCATATTTGTTTGTAAAACTCTAATTTTATTTTTATTTTTTAAAAAGACATTTTGAAAAATGTCATATTCAACCCATTCTAAACGATTCAATTTTATATTCTCTCCCAACAGAAATGATAATCAATTTTATTAAAAAAAAATCAAATATATTATAGTTTAAGTCAATTTTACATATCCAAAATCAATCCGAACATAAAATCAAACCTCCACTTAAAATGTAATTTTCAAAACACAATAAAGAATATTCATGTTACTATCACATAAAACATACTCTACTATTTTTTTTTATAATTATCTCATATATAAAAATTAATTTTATTTATTTGTCATTTTTAAAGTCTAACATAATCATAGACTCATCAATAATATTTTAATTATTTATTATAAAAAACTAAATAAAAGTAAAATAATTAACAATTAATAATATATTATTAAAAAAAAGGCTAGCACTGCATACCAAAAAAAAAAAAAGAGAGAGAAAGAAGCCAAAGCCATCGCTGCTATTCATTGTATCGAAAAAAACCATCTCGTATCACCAACTCTCGATCTCGACCGATTCCAAACCCATGGCGCCGCCGCCGCAGTCGCCGTCGTCGTCGTCGTCTCCCTTCGATCCTTTCAACCAGTACTGTTTACCCATCCATTCATTACTAGTTCATTTTTTGTATTCATCTCCATGATTAACCTTTTTCACGTTTTCCCTTTGTTAACTGCTACAGAGAACCTGTTATACGAAAGAAGAACAATGGAGCACCTATCAAGTTCCTTTTGCCTCTCATATATGCCCCTGTTCTACCTCTAAGTTTGTTTCTTTCTTCATTCCTTTCATTTTTGCAATCTTTCATTCAAATATTTATTGTTTATTTCAATCATTAATTGGTTTCTGTTTTTATGATTTCAGTTCGTTTATCGCTGCGGAGTAAACCTGTTCTGAGAGATCGTTTGTTTACTGCTGTGTTGGTTGGGGCTTTTGTTCATGGAGGCTATCTGGTGTATCCTTTTTTTTCTTCTTCTGTAAATTCTATTTGATTGTGATGTTTCTACAATTCAATGGTATGGTATGGTTGCATTTGAATTTTGCATGTGATTTTGTTGGTAGTTTAGTTTTGCTAAAGATGTTGTGATGTTAGTGTAACTTAATTTTGGTCATTGCATGCTTGGGATTGTCAATTAGAGTTAAGATTATGATATTTAGAGTTTTTTTGTAGGATTCCAAAATAGGTTTGAAGATTTGAGAATAGTTTGGGGCATAGTATTTTAGTTTAGATGATATATTTTTACCTTGTTTGATTGTGTAAATGCAGTTAATTGAATGACTCGATGAAGTGTTTATAGCAGAAGCGCTTATCATATAAGTGTTTATGTTTAAGCTATAAAGTTGAGCTGTTTTTTATATAAGTTATAAACAATTTTCGTAAGCTATCTTAGTGTATGTTTGATTTGGCTTTTGGAAGAGTCAAAAGCAATTCTAAATGCGTAAAATTGATTTTGGAGTGATTTGAGGTGTTTGTTTCTACTAAAGTAGAATTGATTCTGCCTCCGGAATGGATTCTAGTTGAAGCTAGAATTTGTAGCTTCTGAGTTTAAATGTGATTTTTACATTGAAATTAAATGTTCAACTCCCTTCTACATAAATTTATCCAAACATAAACCACTTTACCTTTAAGTCACTTTTAGCTAAAAAAAGTTTTACATAATCAATTTATTCAAAATCAATTCTTTTCACTGCCGAACCAAATATAGTCTTAGAGTGCTTATGTTCATAAGCTTAAAACTAACATCATAATTTGTTCTCGTAATCTCTCTAAACAGTCTAAAAGTAGTGCTTATGCCGCTTGAATACGTCAATTCAATTAGATCTTACCCTAATCTTTTGCATTTTGGGATTTTGAGTGGCTGTTTTTTGTTTACTAACTAGAGTTCGAATTGCTTCTCTGAGGCTACTAGAGGTTGGACATCTTATACTTGTTAACTTATGCTTTGTTGGTTTTTGTGAGTAGATAGAGAAAGGGGAAATAACATGATAAGGCTCTGACCTCATCTTATTTGGTCAGTGTCAAACTGTCAATGCTAGGCACCAAAAGTAGGAGCACCCTTCCCATAATGTTTTTGAGACACCTAGAGGCCCATTTGTTCTGGGAAAATATTTTCTACTTTTATTTCGTGTTTATCTTGTCACTTTGTTTCTTGTTTTCAAAGTTTTCTGAAGCACATGATGAAAACAATCAGAATATTATCATTACTTCATTGTTTGTCATACTAAACTTTGAAAATGGAAAACAGAGGGAAAGCAAGGTAGTACTTTTGTGATTGAAAATGAAAACAAGAAATAATTGCAAACTGAACAGGTCCTAAAATTTTGGTGTGGTGAAGACTTTTTCTGATGTTAAACTGGATTCATTATATTCAGTTAACTTAAGTCCAAATTTGGTTGTTAAGAAGGGGCTTAGAGTCACAGCTTATGTATCTTTCCTTGAATTCCTTCACAATAATTTTTATATGTTGACTAGATATCACTAACAATGACTGATGTTTATTGATTTCCAATACAGTTGTTTCCAATTTAATTAATCTTCATTCATTTTGGTTTTAGTACTATGATTAGACTTTAGAGTAGGTAGTGGAAGGGTTAAAGATCAGTTAGGGTGTTGAGGATTTTGATATTTAGGACTGCTAACTAAACTGGTCCATTAGTATTATAAAAAGGGAATACTCCAACAACTCCAATGATGAACAAATAAGGTGTTAGTTCTTTTCAAAAAAAAAAAAGGTGTTAGTTTAGCATTTTCACTTTTATGCATTACTCTACATTGCCATTTTCTTGAAGTCAAAGTCATGATATTGTTTATTCAGACAGAAGTAGTTGGAGTTCAAGATCAGTTTATATTTATAATGTTGAATTTTTAATTGCCACAACTAACCCTAAATGAGTTATGACAGTAAATAGGGCATATGCAAGCCAAAGTGATACTAAAAGATGGTTCATTCTTCATTAATTTTTGGATTTTGAAAGGTATCAAACTGTAGAATACAATAACTAATCAATGGCCAAATATATGCATGGGAAGCATTTCATTTCCCACTCACATGTTGTCTAGTCTTGTCAATTTATATGCTATATTTTCTTTCTGAGTTGTATAACTAGAATTAAATTTTATTAATTGCATGGTAACATAAATTGGAAATTGCTAACTCAGAATTTTGACCTTGTAATTGGCCAAATTCAAGAGTCCATCGACTTGTTTCTCCTTAATGGCAATACCCAGAACGGATTTGTATGATGCTGAGAGCAAATGATTATGCAGAGCATGTATCGGGCGTTAGATCAGTAATATTTACATCACAACCTTAGGTCCTCAATAAATTACTTGACTTCTGTTTGCTGCTCGATATCCTGGTAACACCTTATATAGATCAAATACTATCATGTAAGGATTTTTTTTCCAATTCTTTTCGGAGATTTTGTGTGCCATGTACTATATGGATTTGAGAATTGCATCATGTATTGCGGATTTGAGAATTGCATCATGTATTGCGGATTTAGCTTCTAGTTGAATAACTGTGAAATTTGGAGTTTGTTCTTGATCTGCTCCAAGTGTTAAAATGCTAAATAATCTTATTTTTGCCTCCTGATATAAATGCTATTTGCTCAGGCAAATCTTATGAGTTTGATGCTGACTTGTGTATGACTATATAGTCTAATTGGATCAAGAGATTTGACACAAAAAAAATGGATTCATAGCATCAATATGCATATCCCTTATCACTATTCATGAACAAATGGATTTTCTCGCAGTTAGAACTGATTTGTAGTTCAGTTTCAGTTTGATTTATTTGCCATTTGGTTCGGTTGTAGAATTATCTGTGCGACCTATGTTCTTTCACCTGTCAAACATAAAGTTTTAGTGATTTTAATTTCAATTAGGTGGTTTTTGTTAGCAAGTGCTACTCGTGTCTACATTTTACATGACATAAGAGATTAATAGTTATGTTTTCCGGAAACAAAACTTGGTTGGTATCCTGCCACCCCTTTAATCTGACCTGACACCCCACGCTTTTTCATATTCTCAATATATTTATTAAAAAAAGAGCGATTCTGTAGTGTAATTGAAAAATTTGATAGTGTATTTTAAAAATCTGATATGTTTTGGAATTTTTTCAGATTTTTTGTAAACACTGTAGTTTATTTTTGATAGGCAAAAAAAATGGAAATCAATTTTACCGGTTTTTAGAAAAATCTAGTAAAACTCGTAGTTTTTTGAAAAATGCAGTGGTGAATTTGAAAAGAATTTGAAAAATTCAGTAAAAACTTGTAATTATTCGGTAAATCATAGATTTCTTGAAAAATCTGGTATATTTTAAAAATTTTGGTAAATCATAGATTTTTTGAAAATTAAGATAAAAATTTATAAATTTTTTGAAAAATTTAGTAAAAACTCATACTCCTTCTGTCTCAATATAAAAGAAAAAAAAATATTTTTATTGTCTTAAAATATAAGAGAAAAAAAATTAATTTTCATTCTTTTCAAGATAAAATTAAATAGAAATTGTATTTAATTTACATTCTTTTTCATCTTTTTTATAACTATCAATCAATTAGAATTATTTTTACATCTTTCTATGTATAAAAACCACGTATCAAATCATCATATTTTATGATTTTAATTTTTTCTCCTATATTTTAAAACAGAAGGAATACTTTTTTGAAAAATAAAAATTCATAGGATTTTAAAAAATCTGATAATTCAAATCTGGTAATTTTTTAAAAATTTGATAAAAATTCATAGATTATTAAAAAATTTATAAAATCTGAAAAACACATATTTTTCAAAAATATAAAAAATCACAAAAGATATTATAATAAAAACACTACAATTGTGAGGTGCTACAATTGTGAGGTGCCAGATCAAGATGAAGGGTGGGAGGATAAAACCTCCTATTACAAACTTGTTGGTTTGTGCTCCATTTATGTGAAATAACCTCTAGTCTTTAGCAGTTCAGTGTCCATGCCCATTTCATAAATTACTGTTGTAAACTTGTCTTGTTAAAAGAAGACTTGCAAAAACAGTATCTCGTAAAGGGAATCAAGCATACTGATCCTGAATTAATATTTGATTGGATAGAGAAGTTTAGAAGGAAAGTAAAAGGAAAAGAAAGTGGTGAAGAACTTTTTTAATTTTAAAAATTAACATTTTATTTTATTTTAAAGAAAAATGGGAGTAAAAAGTAAGATTTTTTCCCACCAAAGTCCTACGTACAAAATAAGATTATATTACCTATTACATTAGTTTTTTTAAAAGACCTATCATACTATAGTTACTAGTTCAATTTAAAAGTGAATATTGACTCTTTGGTCCAATAGTTATAGTCAATTTTTTCTCTAAAACTTTTCAATCGGAAAGATTCTCTAAAATGACGGGTGGGATACTTTTTCCCACTATGGGGTTAAGTGAGAGTGAACAAATTGAAAACTCAAATTTGTCTTTTTATATTTTAAAGATATATCTTCACACGTGCTTAAAATACAGTCTAATAATTTGTAATAATTTGCAAGTGAGTCACCTCATTCTACTCAAATATAATTTGGACATACTTCCGTAACATGGAAAGAGGGAGAACTGATAGCCTAAAGTCATGATTATTTTGCAGAAGCATATAATAATTTAGTAAAAGACTTATTCCATCTAATAATGGTATTTCATTTTTTTCATAACATAAAACATGATTATCGTTAATTGTAATTTAAATTCAGCATTTGTATTTAGCCTTCATTTGCATTTAAGTTTCATTTAGTTCGCATTTTGAATTTGAGTTGGAGTATATAAATTGAAGGTTGTTCAGTTTGTTGTAATGCAACTTTCATAATTGAGATTTAAAAGTTAGTTAGAAATTCTATTATATTTTCTCTTTTTTTTCTCTCTCTTTAGATTCTTTCATCTTCGTCTTCTTCAAGTTTCTTGTGCATTAATGGAGGCGTAACCTCCAACAAATTGATATTTAGAGCTCTGATTCTTATTCACAAGAAATATGAGTGTACGTGAGGTGTGAGATAGATTTCGTTCTATAAATTCACACTGAATAAAAGATCGAAATCATAGAAGAATCACATTTCTTGATTCTTAGGGTATGAGAAACATGAGTGTTTGTGAGATTTGAGTAATTTACACAAGAACGAAGATGAACCACAAAAACGGTAGCTTGAACACAAAGCTTCTAGTATTTGACGGAAAGAGCTGGAATCGATGGTCAATTCAGACGCGTGTGTGGTTTGAAGCTCAAGATATTTTTGATCTCGTCAATAACGGTTACACACCGGTTGCAGAAGATGCAACAAAAGCATAAAGAAATATGCAACGTGATACGAAGAAGAAGAAGGATCAGAAGACATTGTTCTATATTCATTAGTGTATGGATACGAAGGTGTTTGGGAAGATTGTCGATGCGACGACGACGAAAGCGAAGTGACACATCAGTGAAGAAATTAAAGTTGTAGTCCCTACGCAAGCAATATGAGAATCTTAGCATGAAGAACAACGAGAATGTACCATATTACATCTCTAGAGTGACTGGGATCATAAATGAGATGAAAACTTGTGGAGAAACATTGTCTAAACAAGTAACCATTGAGAAGGTACTAAGATCTCTTACTCCTCAGTTTGATTACATAGTTGTAGCCATAGAACATTCTAAAGACATTAGCACCATGAGATTGAAGAACTTCAGAGTAGTCTAGAGACACAAGAGTTGTGTATGACTGAAAGAAACTCTGAAAGGGAGTCAAAGCAGGCTCTGAAGGCTTCTTTTGTTAAGAAGAACAATGAGCAATCATGGCTAGAGAACAATAAAAATAATGTTCAGAAGTCATAACCTTCTTCTTCTTCAGAAGAGAAGAAACATAAGAATGTTCAGAAGGGAAAGTATAAGTTTGATAAGAGAAAAGTTCAGTGCTACTGTAACATATTTGACCATTTTTCCTCTGATTCCTGGTCAAATAAGGAAAACAAGTGTGAATAAGCCAATATAACCAGAGGAGATTCAGAGGATGAACTTGTGCTATTGATGGCATATGAGAATGAAGGTGAAAAATGGTGGCATCTCAAACCAATGAATATTTTGGGACAAGTCTAATCTTCAACCTATCATGGTTTTAGCCAGGCTAACCAAGAATCAATGAAGATTTTGTGACAAGGCTCACCTTCAACCTATAACTAGGATTGCTCACATAATCCCCCAAAAATAAGCTTTTAACAGGTTTAGCTTAGAACCACATACATAATTTCTATTTGGACAGTATTCAACCAAAGTTTATAAACATGATTACCTTGGTGAATTTTTACAATCCTACCCTTCTAGAATTACAATGGTGACCTCACTCACAAATGATACTTTACTCATAAAAGCATTTGACTATAAGAACTAGTGAGAGGAAGCTAAAATAAAACTTAGAGAGAGAGAGAGAGAGAGAGAGAGAGAGAGAGAGAGAGAGAGAGAGAGAGAGAGAGAGAGAGAGAGAGAGAGGTCAATACACAAATTCGTATTCTGGATGATTTGAAATGAGAAAAGAGCCTTTATTTATAGGCCTAAGGTTCCCCAAAAAAGAAAATATTTAAGCAAAAAAGTTGTTATCTAACTGTTTGAAGCTTTTTTCCAATCGCTTAATTTTTAAATTTAATCGTATATAAGTTACCAATATGAAAAAAATAAGATATATAGTCTTTGCATAGAATCTGGGTGAATTCAACATGCCTTGCGTCTCAAGTTCGCATGTTTCTAATCGGTTGACAAGTTGCTCTAACCGATTAAATAAAGTAAGAAATTCTTCCATGACTTTTTGACTGCTCCCATCTTGTTCTATATGTTTTTCAAAGTGTTTTTCTTTGGTAAATCATTTGATAAAAATGTTTTGGTGTGTGTGCTTATAGCCATGTATTTATATGAAAAAGTCCCTTTGCTTTTACATAGTTTCACTCATTTACTAATTTAAGATATTTTCTCTAAGCCTTTGTCGATTGTAATGTTTTGCATCAACAATTGCTTAGATCTCTTGAGGATTTTAATAGAATCCAGTTTTTTGCCTTCATCTGATAGTCAAGTTTATCAAACCTTTATATTCATGGTTTGCATATGTCATACCCCAAATTTGTCCCACCCATCTTGTTATTTCCTCTGGCTTATACTTTTCAAATTCATCTGCATTCTATTAACCTAAGCCTTCACTTTTTTTACTAGCGTTCATTCGTTTGCATTTACATACATACATTAGTTCAAAAGTCCACAAGTGCTTGAATTTTAGCTGT